TGGCTGTAGCAAGGGTTTGGGCGGAGGCATGGCTGTGCCTGGAGCCTGTGGCGGGCACCTCTCCACGACTGTGCCACTCTGATGCTGGTTATTGTCGGCTGAGCCCTCTGGGAAAGCAGGGCCCAGTGCTGACTTCTTGGTGTCCCAGCTCCCAGGTTGGCATGTGGCAGAGATTGGTGTTTATGGAACTGAACTGTTGTCTGAGACTGAGCCTTCTTGAGACGTGTCATCACCCTTGTGAGACAGCAGCCCCTCTCTTCCTTTCCTTCCCACCTGCCAAGGTGTGAGAGGCCAGGAAGGTGTGAAGCCCTAGGAAATGGCTTTGTTCCACGACCTTTGGCCCTTATTTGGGATAGAGATCTGTCATGACTAGACTTCTCCCCAGGCTCTCTTCTTAAATTTCTACATTTTAAAACAATAAAAATTAAACATTATTGATTGCAAATCATTTAGAAATATCAAGAAAGTACAAAGAGCAAGACTAGAAGTATCCATAAACCCCTCCTACCCAGAAATACTCATGGGTAACATGCTGATGCAAATCCTTCCAGTCTTTTTTCTATAAATATAAATATGTGCTTTTGGCTCAATAAATAGTTATCATACTGTAATATGATTTTGTTGCTTGAGGGGGAGGGAAAAGAGGACGAGCATTTCCTGTGTCATTGAGTATTCTTTAAGAGCATTTTTTAAAGCTTTTTTTCCTTATTACCAAGGCTATCACTCAATGGGGCGGACTTGCGGGGAGAAAGCGCTAAGCAGAAGCAATCCATTATTCTTTTCCTTCCTAGAAGGCGCCTCTGTTAACATTTTGGTGCATGCCCTTCTGGTATGTCCTTTTTTATTTTAATTCGAATTCCATTAAATTTATCAATTAATTTGAGGAGAACTGACGTCTTCACAATATCGAGCCTTCTCTTCCAGGAGCAAGTTATGTCTCTCTATTTATTCAAGTCCTCCTTTATGTCCCCCACTAAAGTTTTGTAGTTTTGTTGATACAGGAATTGCACGTATATTGTCAGCTGTTTTATTTCTTTTGTTGTTGCTGTTGTGAAGAGGGTCTCTTTTTCTCCCTTATAATTTCTCCTCATTGGTTGCTGACGTACAGGGGGCTATACGTTTTCCTATGTGTGTGCCAATGCCCTAGGAGGAGCTCTCTGTTTTTCCTCTGATTCGCTTGAGTTTTTAGAGAACAGCCATACACATATGTACATAATATCTCTTTTCTGATGCCACTACCATGATTTGTGATTTTTGTCTTACTTATACTGTGACTTTAAAGAATACTTTATGATGGAGGATGTCTTTTAGATACACTGAGAGAGAATGGTACAATGAGCCCCTGTGGGCCCACCACCCAGCCCCAGCAACCCATAGCCCATCCAGCCAGACCTGCCTCCCCTTTACCTCCACCCCTCCCATATTACCTGGAAACAAATCCCGGACACCATATCAAGCCATCCTATTCCCTGACTGTCAATGCCTGCAGGTTGTTCTGCCATATGGGTGGGTTTTAATATATTGAGTAACCTCCTACTTTGGGACATTGCGTTGTTTCTATATTTCCAATATTATATAAAGAATATCTTTATACATAAATATGTTTATGTACCTCTAACTGTTGCTAAATTTATATCTGTGGAAATGGAATTACCGGGTCATATGCTATTTTGATCATTATTTTCCTTTAAACACATACGTACAATCACATGGTGGCTTTTCTAATGAGAAATGTAACACATGTTCCCTGCAGAACTTTTCTGAAAATACAGAAAAACAACAAGAAGGAAATTAAAGTCACCCCTAATCCTACCACATGCTACAACATGGGTAAACCTCAAAAAACATTATGCTAAGTGAAAGAAGTTGGATGCAGAAGACCCTAAACTGCATTATTCCATCTATATGAAGTGCCAAAAAATGCAAATCTCTAGAGGCAGAATGTGAATTAGTGGCTGCCTGGGGCGAGGTGGGTGAAAACAATGACTGAGTGTAAGTGGACACGAGGGAGCTTTAGGGTGATGGAAATGGTCAGAGACTGGATTTTGGTGATGGTCACACAACTCAGAAAATTTCCCAAAAATCCCTGTACACTTAAAGCAAGGTGAATTGTGTGGAATTTCTTAAAGTAGGTAATGCCTCAATAAAATTGATTCTTAAAACAAATCCAGAAACAAAAACAAAGTTTCATTCGGAAAATAAGAAATCTACCGCATAGCACTATTCACCTGTGTTGTCCTGGAATGTCTCCCATTCTGATGGCGATGATGTAATTGCTGCCTCACCTCCCTTCTCTTCCCCTTCTGACCTGGGGCCACACTGCATGGCCTGCTTTCTAACCTCCACTGGTCACTTGCACATTCATTGTGGGTATTTCTCAAAAATAAAATGTTTGCTGGTATGTGGAAATATACAGCACATTGCAGTTTCAGCTATTTCTCCTGTCGGACATCTCTAGTCCCCCTCCCCACGCACCGCATGCCCACTACCGGAGTCACCGGAGTATCGTGTCCAAGACATGAGCGTGTTTAAGGCCTTTGGTATATTTCTAGTGGCCGTGGGGAAGGCAGGTGTGCCAGTCCCCGCTTCCACCAAGAGTCAAGTGTCAGTTTCCAAACTCCTTCACCAAAGCTGTGTTATATAATCTGTGTTACATAATCTGTTTTGTGTTTGCCGATAAAACATGCAAATGACAACAAAATATGGTATCTCCCTGATGGTTTCAAATGAGTTTATTACCAGGCTTGATGCACATTTCTTCCCATGTTAATAGCTCCTTTGTACTATTATTTTTTTCTTTTGTGAAACATCTATGCTTACCCTTTACACATTTTTCTTTCTTTATGGTTGCTAGTTTTTCTTTTATTTATTTACTTACTTATTTACTTAATCACTTATTAAATATTTTATTGTTGTTCTATTATAGTTGTCCCAATTTCCCCCCATGCTCTCCTTCACCACCCTACCCCCCGCCCCCGCCACACTCTTTTGCACATTTTTCTATTGGAGTATTTATTTTTTGTTGTTGTTGAGTTTTAAGTGCTTTTTATAACACAAGATCATCAACCTTTACACTGCCATATATGTTACCAATATTGTTTCCCAGTTTGTTGTTTGCCTTTTAGTTTTGTTTATGGTTGTTTTGGTAAATACAAATTTTATATGATTTCTGTGGAGTTATCAATCTTTCTCCTACATTTCTGACTTCATTGAAATGCCTAGGAAGGCCTCTTCCACTTCAATATTATGTGATATTCACCTATATTTTCTTTTTTGGTATTTGTGTACTGTTTTCATTCCTCCTTCCTTCCATTACTTTCTTGCTATGTAATCTTTAATCCATCTGGAAGTTTTAAAATATTTATTTATTTATTTATTTATTTATAGAGAGAGGGGAAGAGAAGGAGAATGAAAGGGAGAGAAACATCAATGTGTGGTTGCCTCTTGTGTGCCGCCTTCTGGGGACCTGGCCCACAACCCAGCCATGTGCCCTGACTGGGAATTGAACAAGCGCCCCTTTGGTTCACAGGCTGGTGCTCAATCCACTGAGCCACACCAGCCAGGGTGTGGAACTTATTTTGATATGTGGCTTAAGATTAGCATCTAAATTATAGTTCTCCTAAATAATTGAATAATTGTATCAGCACAATTCCTGAGTAACTCATCTTTTACCTACTAATTGGAAATAGCCACCTTTATCGTGTCTTAAATACTTATCTCTACTTGAATCTCTTTCTGGGGACTTTTAAATCTCATCTGATTGATCTACCTGTGTTTTCATATGCCATTAGGGCACGGTTTAATTATTTTGGCTTTATAATATATTTTAAATCTGGTGGTGCAAGTCACCACTCATCTCTTTTTAGACTGTTATCTCCTAGTTAGTCTTCCAGATGCATTTTAGAGTCATTTTGTCAAGTAAAAGAAATATCCTTCTATGATTCTAATTGGAATTGAATTAAACTGAAAATTTAATTTGGAGAAAACTGACACCTCTACCTCTAAATACCCAAGAACATGACATGTCTCCTCATTTAAACCTACTTTTACATCTCCCCTTAAGGTGTTTTTGTCATTGCTATCACTAGAAGCACACATTTATTATTTGGTTTGTTGTTAGTTATTTAATATTTTGTTAACATTATAAGGGAAATTATTTTGCTATTGAGTTTTCTTACTGGTTGTTGCTGATATAAAGAAACATTATTAATTTGTGCTAACTGGTCACTTAACTTGAATCTTCTATAGCTCCTACTAGTTTTTGTGTTTAGGGATTATTTTAGGTATTTTCCTTTTAGGAAGACATGTATATCACTTTCAAACAACAGTTTTTTTTCTGTCCAAGAGGTATGCTTTTTCTCTTATTTCATTGGTTAATGGTGTGGTGTGGATTCTTCCCCTGTCTCCCTTTTTAATGAGAATGTCTCTAGTGTTTCACCATTAGTGTGATATTAAAGGCTGATTTGAGCTAAAGATGCTTCAAGGAAGTATTCTTCTGGGTGCTAGTTTATTAAGCATTAGTAACAGCAATAAGTATTGGATTTCATCAAATTCCTTCCTGCATTTTGTGATTTGGTTATGTGGTTTTTTTCCTTTGAACTATTGATGTGATGGAATGATATTCATAGATTTCTTTATGTTGAACCACCCTTACATTCCTAGAATACAACTCTGCCAAGTCACGGTATGTTATCCTTGTAATATTCTGGCAGATTCTATGTGCCAGCACTCTATTCAGAATTTTTATAGCAATGTTAATAAGTTGGTGATTTTATTTGGGCTCTGTTTGTCAGTCTCTGTTATCAGGAATTCGCTAGCTGAGTGAAATGAACTGGGAGGTTTTCATATTTCTTATGCTCCAGCACAATTTCTGTGTATGTGAATTATCTAGGATATTATTGAACACATGGGGGGAGTTTGTCCATGAAACCTTCTGGGCAAGCATCTTCGTTGGTGCCCTCTCCTTCCCCAGTACACACGATTGTACCCATCTCTCGCAGGAGGAATCTTTGAGTATGCAGATGGCCCCAACGCCCAGGTCATGAACGCCGAGGAGCATGCCTTTCGATTTTCTGCCAACATCATCAACAGGAACAGGACTCTGCTGCCCAACACAACCTTGACCTATGACATCCAGAGGATTCACTTCCACGATAGCTTCGAAGCCACCAAGAAGGGTGAGTGTGCCACCCTGTCTGCTGAAGTAGGGTGGTCTTTGCTGTCCGAGGTGCTGAAAATGGCCCAGAGGTTTGGGTGGGCTTGGGGCTTAGAGCATTTTCCTGTGCAGTTTTGGGATCTGCCTCAGTTCCAGTTCGATTTTGTCTGTGTCACCCCCAAGGAGCAGTATGTTGTCCATCAAAAGTTCCCACGTCACTGTCAGGGGCTATGAGGGAATGAGGGGCCATGGGAGGGGCATCAGGGGAGAGGGGAGGGGCCTGAGATGGAGCTGGGGAGCCTGCAGTAAGAAGGGCAGCCCAGGTCTCTGACACCTCTAAACCAAAGACATTCTCCAACTTGTTTTTATTTCATTGAAATCCTACCCAGAATATAAAAATTTTAAATGCATATAAACCAGAATATGTATAAGTTCTAATATGCAACATTTACTTGCCATAAAAAGACTTACTAAAAACAGCAAAGCTGCTTCTATGCCGACCACATTTTGGCCCCAGAGACTACGGATGACACTTAAAGTCTGACATTGACCTCAGCATTCAATGGTTTCATATTTTGTTTTGGCTACAAAATAACAAGAAAATCATAATTCATAAAAACAAGTTGTAGTAAACTCAGTCAAACAGTTTTTCCCACATCTGACTTTTTAAAAATTAAAAAAAAATTGGGGACTTCATCCTTCTTCATCAGTGAGATATTTACAGTAAACTTCAACCCTTGCACAGAAAGGAGTGGAAAACTTTATTCCAAGAAAAAGAAAAGGTAACTTATCAATATCTGAATGAACTAGGAGTTTCTAATGTGGCACATTTGAGTATACTCTTTTGTTACTATTTTTAAAATACATGGTTTATGTATATAGTTAATTGAATTTTAACTTAAAGGCTTAGCTAACTCTGGAAATAACTTCCACAGAGCCCTAGCATTCCACAAAACTGTATTTAAAAATCTCAGGCCTAAGGACTCTCACTCCCAGAGAAGACTAAGTCATCCTTCCTATAGTGTGATATCACCCCTTGCTTTTCTTCTTTAAAGGTCTTATCACAAGTAATACTTAAATAATCGTGTGTGTTTAATGTCTCTCCCTTTCTCTCTAATACCACTGAAAGGACAGTTCTCTCTTTTTAACCAATATAGCCCTGGAACCTAGAAGACTGGTGTATAGTAAGTGCTCAATGAAATGATCATTGAGTGAATCAATGAATGAATGGGGTGAGAATGGCGAATGTGAGGCTGAGCATCATTGTCCACTACCCCTGTCAGTTGAGCTTAGGGATAGTGTCATCCATGTGTCTTGGGAAAACTGAGGCCCATCCACAGGGAACCCTTGGTCTTTCTAAAGGGTTCTCAATTGCTAATCAAGTACTCCTGAGGTCCCAGGTGCAGACTTGACAAGGTACTACCTGCTGTTGGCTCTGTTTACCCACAAAGCCCCACCGTGGGCAAACATTTCATCACAGAAAGGCAGCAGAGTGCAGGCTTGCAGCCAGACTGCCTGGAATGACACCTTGTTTGCTCTGATATTAGTTGTGTGACCTTGGACAATATGTGTCTCAGTTTTCACATCTGCAGAATGTGCACAGCTTTGTGAAGTGCTTAGATCCATGTCTGGGACCTATGAGGTACCATATTGGAGTTTGCCTGTATTACATTGACTGACTAGCTCTCCACATGCTGAATCATCAAGTCAGGGGCCTCATACCTACAAGCCTTTCCTACCACTAGCCCTTGTTTCTTCCACCCTGCTTCTTTTCTCCTTGTGCACTGAAGTTTGAAAGGCCCCAGTGTTGAAAATGGCTAACACTGAATCTTTTGAATACATTGCCCTGAGTCTCAGAGCCAACAAGCACCCAGACTAAGGGGAGCCTACCTTCTTGCCCCTGTATCCTAATAGCCTCAAAGAGTGGTCTATTGCCCATCTCCCTTCCCCTGTGCTGGCATGCCCTTCACCCTGCCCACTTCCTCCCCAGCATGCCCTGAAGCCAGTGTTGTGCGGTCAGGTATCCACCTCTCTGCTGAGAATTCGAGCTGGCACCCTCTGCCCAGCCTTGTCTGTCTAGAAAATGACTAAACGCAACCAAAACTGCTCAGTAAAAAGGTCAGGACACAGAACAAATGCTTAGAGTCAGAACACAGAGGCCCATGTGGGCAGGACCTCCCTAAAAGGCTAGACAGTCTTCTGTCCATTTTTTCTAAAAAACACTAAAATTATATTGAATCACTGTCTAGTGGTACACTTACATTTCAGTGCTGAGACCTTCAGCCAATAGCAAGCCTGGGGCAGAGCTTCTGAGCCTTCCAAGGCACTTCCTCCAGTAGGAACTCCCAGTCCTGCACAATGCAGAGCTGCGCGGGTAGACGAGCAGACTTGAGATGGAAACACATGATGCTAGAAGTCCAGCCAGGCTGGTCCAAGTGACCAAAGCCACAGCCCCTCTCCACTCTCCACCAGGTCACCTGACTTGTTTGCTTAAAACCCTGGATGGTATGCCCATTGTTTTTCTCTAAATCATCCATAAAGCCCATGAGGGCATGTCTAGTCTCGCCCCAACATGACCTTCCAGCCGCATCTGTGCTACTCGCTCACTCAGCCTCTAAGTTCCAGCCATACCTGCCATCCACAGGGTGCCAGGCTTCCCTCTGTCATTGAACCCAGGGTCAGCTGCCTGCCACAGCAAAAGCCAAACTCATGAGACAGGTGCTAGTAAAAAGGAAAGAGGTTTATTTAAGTGTCGGCCGCCATAAAGATGGGAGACTCTTGTTCCAAAGCCCATCTTAACATCTCCATGCAAGCAGAGGTTTTTATCAGGGAGCGGAGGGAAAAGCAAAACAAAGAATTCAGGGGAAGGGGACTGTAAACATGCAGGACATCTTCCCATAGGCCTTGATGTGGATCTTTATGGTCAGCATCCTTGAGTTGGCCATCTGGTTTCTCATCAGCTGAATTCCTGGGGTCTTGAGGTCAGGCTGCTTCCTAGGTTCACACAGGGACTAAAACTGCTGATTCCTGTGAAGTATACTAGAAAAAAATTAACATGCAAGCTCTAGAAATATCAGGTTAGAGTAACAAGTCAGGTTTAACATTTAGTCAGAGTAGTATAAAGTTTTTATTCCTTGTTACACTCTCACGTCAGGGATTTTGCCCAGGCTATGTCCTCTGTAATTTCCTTCCCCTATAAATCTCACCTCTGCCTGGCCCTTGGTGTAGCTAATTCATCCTTCCCTCAAGCTTCTGGTCCTCAGGGCAGCCCTCCCCAAACCCCCAGATAAGGTCAGGTCTCCTTGCTTCACCTTATAACACTCTGGGCTTTTCTTTCACAATTCTGAGTCTTGGTGTGTGTGTGTGTGTGTGTGTGTGTGTGTGTGTGTGTGAGAGAGAGAGAGAGAGAGAGAGAGATTCTGTGATCACTGCCCATCAAGGCCATACTATAGCACCATTGTTCAGACTGCTGGTGCCATGCACTACTTTTGCCTATTTTTTTTAACTTTACATAAGTAGAATACCAGGTTATAATTTTTTGAGTCTTGCTTCTTTCCCCCATGACATATCTCTGAGATTCATCTGTTGTTGAATAAAAGTCATCTGTTGTTCTTCATTGCTGTAAATCTTTCATTACACAAAGATACCACAGTTTTTCAAAACAGAAATAACTGTTGGACATTCAACTTGTTTCCATTTGGGGCCTTAAAATAGCACTGCTATGAACACTCTCATAGATATCTTTCGGTGCACAAGCATGCACATTTTTTGTTGGGTATACACATAGGATTGGAAGTATGTGGCCATAAGGTGTGTGGATGCTCAGCCAAACGGTTTTCCCAAGTTGCAATACTGACTTGAACTCCTGCAGCCGTGGACGGCCATTGCCATGTCTCCACATCTTTACCAACTCATGGCAAAATCAGTTTTATTTTAATTTGGGCCATTTGGTTTATGTAGTAGGCATCTCATTGTGGTGTCATTTTATATTTCCCTGATGACCAGAGATGTTGAGTGTCTTTTCATATACTGGTAGATCATTTGAATCTTCTCTTTCCTGAAGTGCTTTCTGAGCCTTTCAACCACTTTTAAAAATTGACTTGCTTGTCATTGTCTCACTGATTTGTAGGAGTCTTTTATAAATCCTGGATAAGTGCCCTTGGTTATATATACATTTGTATTGCAGATAGCTATTACAGATGAGTTTGCTTTTCACTCTCTCAGTAGTATCTTTTGAAAGTTCTCAATGTGAAGAAGTCCAGTTTATTCACATTTTCCTTGTGGTTAGTGCCTTTTGTGTTCTGTTTTTTTTCTGTCCTAACATCATGAAGATATTCTCCTATGTTCCCTTCTAGAAGCTCTCTTGTGTTGTCCTTCATAGTTAGCTCTATGATCTATCCCAAATCAGTTTTTTATGAATGGTGGAAGCTAGGGTGGAAGTGAATTTTTTCTACACCATGCTGGTGGGAGCACAGACTGATTCAGCTTCTCAGGAGAACCGTGTGGAAGTATCTGCTAAAGTTAAATGTATGCCCGAGAGGATGTTCCTAGCCACTTATTGATAATAGCCAAAAGTTGAAAATAAATGGAAGGTCCATCAACAGGAGAATGGATAGATTGGGGTATAGTTATACAATGGAATTAGAATCAGCAGTGAAAGAAAGAACAAACTCTTGCTACACACAATATCACAAATGAACCTCACAGACATAATGTTGAGTGAATAAACAGTGGTTACTGCTAGGTGCAGGAGTAGTGTGCAATGGATAGTAACTGGAAAGGGGCAGAGAAAAACCTTGTTAGGTTTGGAAATGTGTTATATTTGATCCAAGTAGTAGTGACATGAGAACAGTTCCATGTCAAAATTCATCAAAGTCTGTGCTGAAAATGAATGCACTTTACCATATTGTGTTATATCTCAATTAAAAAATAAGTAACACCTCTCTGCCATCACTCTCCCTTAATGTCCTTCTGATAATATAGCAAAGACAGACCCGTACTATTTGGAAACACCACTGTCTG